TAGGTTTTAAAAAATGTTGGGTTCCTGACACAGGCAAAGCTGCCCTTTGTTTTTAGCACATCACCGCATACTAGGAAGGCAAGGCTTTTCATGTACAAAGAGTTTCTGCATCTGTAGGATATAGGGTTTGTCAATCTGCACCTTTCTGGCAGTGGACATGCTATGCAGCCGGAGCTTGTGGAGGAGATTATGGATTGGCTAATCAAGTTATCCTAATCCTTCTCCTCTCAGGCCCAGAGAAGTGCATTTTCCACAGCAGTTGCAAATCTGCCCTCTTCTTTCTCTACAGCCAATACTGTTGTTATCCTGAAAACTGGAATGGAGAAGTAGACAGAATGATGTCAGCTCAGCATGAGTAATTAATGCACAAAGAAGCTCAAGAGCAGCAATTGCCGTTGGTGTTCCTGCAGCTGCAATTTCTTGGAAATTGGAAGCCAAATGGGCTTGGGTAATGAGGAGTGTAGGGATGACCACGGCAGACCATATCTGGGTGCCAGAGATTGTAGAAGAGAAAAGGGAGGGAGAGGCAAAATGTCTTCTAGGGTCAGGTGTAGCTTTCAGAGGAGTGGTAGGAGCACCCTTTCAATCCACTAGATTACACTAGAGTGCTCTACATAACTGAGCAGTCTGGGCTTTTTTTTACACATCTCCAGGTGCCTCTTGCCCAGCTGCTGGAGCAGAAGAAAAAATTGTCACCCAGTAACCCCCATGCCGAGCATCTCAGCCTAGCTTAGTAAAATTGCTGGATTTACAGCTTCTATCATTCCAGCTAGTGGAGTCTGCCCCCTTCTGTGACTTTGTGGCCTGTGTTGCACCACAGTGGAAAGTACCCAGTCATGTTTTTTCACCCAGAAGGCCATCCCTGCCCTAGTGAATAGAATGTATAGGGTAATGTTTCTGTGTCTCAGTGTCTATCACATTTGATGGCAGCTGGGAAGGATGCAGAATGAGGTTGAGCTTGAGACTTGAGCTGATGGTACCTCTCTGTTTCCTTTATCTTGATGACGGTGATAGTTCTGTCATCTCTACCCCATCCTCTTCAATGGCCTCACCCTAAGACTCCTCATAAACCACGAGTTCCCAATATGTGCTGGCAGAATACAGTGTCGCTGACGCAGTCGATGAGAATGCCTAAAGCCATCTACCAAGTATGTATTAGAATGGAATGATCTTTTTTTTCCCTTGACAATCTCAAACACTTCTTCAAAATGTATTTTTTCACTGGTTTATGTTCCCCATGGCAGTACCCAGCCCCCCTTGCCATTTGTGTGGCAATCCTCTGCCTATTATTCTTGAAAATGGCCAAAATTGATTTTCAAGATTCCCTCCTATTGACTTCATTGGAATTCAGATTAAAGTTCACATTTTCTGGAACTTATGATGAGTTTGATGAATGTTCCATGATCCGAACCCAGTCAATTCACTCATCAATAATCAACATGTATTTTTCTATACTTGTGAAGTTAACTCTTTAAAGGTTTAAAGCCTGGGGGCATATACATGCATTACATAGATAGATGTACTGCATATGTCTTGTTTATAGTGACTAGATATATATTTGAATGTCCTTGAAGTACAATTACACTTTTTGATCCAAAAACCCCAGCCTTCCCCAGTGCAGTAACTCCCTATGCATGTAAATCAACCTGTGCACCAAGCACCTCTACTGCAGGATAAGAGCTCTATTCACATGTAGGGAAAGTTACTGGCCTAGTTAGAGCCAGAGACTGCTGAATGGAGGATGTAAACACTGAAAGAGGCTTCTCCACCACCTACATATAATTATATATCAGGGGTAGGAGGATTTTATGTTAGATTTGCTTAGGGGGCAAGATAGGGGGGCAGGGATATTTGGATCAAAAGTACACTTGTATTTTAAATGAGCACATCTTGCATCTGACTATAAACTTTTTCAGTCTTGCAGTTAGAGCTACTACTACTACTACTACAATATCCATTGTTCCCAGTTTGTTACAAATTCATGCGCTTGTAAAATTATGTAATGTTCACAATTTCAGCATTGTTTGTGGATACACATATATTTAGCAAGTCACTAAATATTATAGCAATACTATAAAGGAATTTAGGAATGTTGCTATGTTTGCCTTCATCGAGAAAAACTCTAGGAAAAGAGCTGAGCACAATATATATTGTAACGGAAGATTTGGCATAAGTGAAGACAGTTTGAGACTCATATAGTGCATTTTTACTTTGGTTACAGACTCATGAATTCAAGCGTATCTATTCGTCCTCTACATTTCCGACAATGTAACTTTATTGCTATCACTGGAAAAAAAAAGCAGGACTGGTGAAGTATTATATGTGTCAGCCCTAAATAGACATAAATGAATAGGAGGAATTAACGTTAATCTGAATACAATAGGGAAATTCATGTGGTATAGCACTGAGGAAGAAATAGTAAAGAAATGTTTTGTTCCTTAGAGGAAAATGAAAACTCCTAAAATCTAATCAAGACACTCTGATACCCATTAAAATGAAATATTCATAAATACTAATGATTTAGCAGAAATACTTTTTAAAGATTTTATGTAACTTTGGATCAGAGCACTTAGCAGCAAATGACTGTATTCATCCACATAAGCTGCAGCTGCTAGAATTTAATAAGATATAAGAAAATAATCTTCACCAGAAATACAAAAAAGATAATTACAATCTAAGAGGAAAAACTATTTTCTTTTTCCTGATTATTGAAAAAAATGCCACTAAATTTGACTTAAACATTAGGGGGTTGTCATAAAAAGTTTAAATCATACATGCAATGAACTCCAGATAATGCTAGTGATTTCCTGTCAGTTGTGACTTGTAGAAGCAATGAGCAGGGTAAAATGCTGGAGGGGTTTCAATACTAAATATTGTAAGTGACAATTTACTCACAGCCTGCCTTCATCACCTACCAGCCAAATCAAAATCAACAGTTAAAGAGACCCTGTCACCGACTTTATAAATGCAAGTAAAATCACAAGTATTTTAAATGCTTACTTGCTGAGGTTTTCCTTTCCATAAACAATTTTATTGACTTGCAATGTGGCTCTAAACTTGCTAGGAAATTTACACTCTATAAGGTGTCCATTCACTCTCCAGGGAGTGTCTAATTACTGTTTGTGCTGGGCCAGCTCCTCCGCTCCTCCCCTTACCTTCCTACATTACCTTTTATGTATATAATAATGAATAATGAATCCAAATAAAACAAATATATATTGTCCAACAAAGTATTTCTTTGAATTTTTGCCCAAGCACTTTCCCACAATCATCATGTTTCCAAACAGCTCCAACTCTGCCAGCTTCACTTCCCTGTACTTCCTGTACAGTACAACATCACAAGGGACAGTGCAATATTCAGCTACCATCTACTAGCTTGGTGAAGGGATGACGGAGGAGTGGGGGCAGAGGAGTGGCTTGCTGTGCTGTGCATTTGTGGAGAAACACAAAGCTTACTAGCACACACAAGGGTGGCTCCATAGGACCTTGCAGGGGAAAGGCCACCCTAAAACAGGATATCAGGGTCAGTGCTTAGGGGACCAGCTGATTCTGCAGAAAGCTAAAACCTTTAAACATCAAGGAGCAGTATCCATTATAAGTGATGAAATCAGCATTTGAAAAAGCTTAAAAACCTTTTGAGTTTAATATTACTTTAAATGCACATACAATCTTAAGGGATGATTGCTATTGAAATAATTGATCGGGGTCTCTTTAATGCTCACCATACAGTTTATAATCTGACTGTAAAATCTCAATCAGTACAATCGTGCTTATCTAATCTTTGCAATCAATTTATATCCAATAAGACACTATATACATGTTGGTAGATCTAAAGGAGATTCTACAGATTTTACCAGATTTTAAGAATCAGTTGGGTCAAGAAAATTACCTCTAGCATACTATCAGCTAATAATAATCTTATCTCTATTTGCTGCTTATGATGCAGTCTGACAGATTGCATCAATTTACACTTAAAATGATCATTAACTGGCCCCAAAACGAGGATAATATAATCCTTAATGCACACAGCGAAAATAGGATTACTGTGTAACATGCCAAGATCAATTATATACACTCAATTCATGATGGACATCATACAATAAATAACATTGAAAACCCCTTTAACATACCCATATTTCTTTTGTCTCCAAACACTTACATATTAAGTATGTTTTTGATGGTGAGTGCATGCATGTTAAATAATGTGAAAGGGTAACATTTACAAGTATTTATTATTACCACTCTCAGAGATTACAGTCTTATCCCTGATAATAATTTTAGCTGATTTTTTTTTATCCAGAAGGATTGATTCTTGTTTTGTTCTGACATTATCCAGAGTCACCACCTACTTCCAGGACTGACATTCTAGCCCAATGATGACACAACCATGTAAATACTGGTGCCAGTGCAGCTTTTTTGGATGTGTTTACAAATGTTTGAAACTGATCAGACCTGCTGCATTCTCTGGCCTTTCTACAAAGTCACAGTGTTGCAGTCTGATCACTGAAGGAGGGGAGGCTGAGGAAACACTTCCTACACCCTGCAGCAGACTGATGGCATCATCTCGGCCTAGGCCAATGTACTTGTCTGGAGCTCGAGGGCAGTGTTTCAATAAAGAAAAACAACAGATTTTTTTTAAAAACAGCAAGTTGTAATCTGCATATTGTGGCATGATAGGAATATATTCATGCTGACCTGTTAGGTTACTGAGGGGTCCACTTAAGATTTTCCTTATGATTTCTCAGACAATTGCTCACAAGAAACTAGAGATGTTTATGACCTTTACTTTGAGGAGGTATTTTAGGTGGCATTTATATAATGGCTGAATCAGAAAACATGAACCATACATAGAGATTAACAATTCTGTAATAATAAAATGACTATGAAAACCCTACTACACATTATTTGACAAAATGAAATAAAATGCCTTTTATTTCTCTTTTAGGAATTATTGCAGATGTATGTTATATTAATGCTAGAATGTTATGGTCCACACTAACCTGGTACACCTGGAGGTGTTTTCAAATACTTTCCATTGAAATGTTGTATTACCACTTCACATTTTTCAGTAGACTCCATTCTGTAATTAAAAAACACAAAATAAAAAAAGTGCTTTCATCAGCTCTATGCTTTATGTGATACCATAATAAAAAGTCGAAATGATCTATCTATCCATTACTTAAAGCAGAAAAAGTGTAATAAGGAACGGGCAAGGGAAATTTATATTGTTCTGTTTGTGATACAATTTGAAACATAAAACATAAGTATAACATGTGGTTCACAATAAGTATAAAAACCACAAAGTGTTATATAAAAAGACATTTTGATTTATATAATGATTATAGAGGTGTACAGATGTGTGTAGGGCAGATGAACACTATTGTAATTGTTGGTTGAGTGAGTTATCTTTTTCTGTTTTATTCTAGGGCTTTGTAAATGGGCACTTGCTGTGTGGCCATGCCTTGACTGCTGAAGGCTCAGTTTGAAGCAAACAGAGCAGAGTTGTATCAAGCTGCACAAGGGCAAGCACCCCACCATGTACAGTACTTGTCAGTTCTATAAGTTATTATGGCATCCTCTTCTCTTCTTAATCTAGTTGACTCTCCTTTTAACCATCACCTTTGAATTTGACAAGAAGTTGGCTTCATTGTGGAATTCCTTCTGATTCCCCATACCTTTATTACCTTGAAAGCCTAGAAGCATTATGCCATGTTCACATAGGTAATAGTCAATCAATTAATTATTTTACTAAAGGAATATTGAAGTTTCACCGTCCAAAATGAATAGGGTAAAGCTTAGAAAAATTAATAGGGTACAGCTTAGAAAAACTTTACTTACTAAAAATGTTTTTTTTTAGTTCAAATAAAGGAATTTTTTCTAAGCTGTTGTTTATTTATTTACATTTTATTTAACTCATTAGTGAATAAGTAGGGTACAAGTACCCCTTACTCATTCACAAGGGGGGTGGCATTTGGGTGCCCCCTTTATGAAAGTGGGTACTCAGATGCCCCCTGCCCACAGACCCCACAACCACCAGGTCAGGCATGGGGTCAGGCACCATCGGCACGGGGACAAGGTGCTTTTCCAAGGGGTCCCCCCTGGAAAAGCACCCTCCTAATGCTGAAGGCATGTGGCCTGCTATGGTGAAGTGAATGGAGGGGGGCTCGCTCGCCCCCCGCTTTTTCTGCCCTGCCAGGCTGCTGCCCTGATTAAGGGTCTGGTATGGGATTTTAGGAGGACCCATTTTTTTTAAACTTTTTTGGCATTGGGGTTCCCCCTTAAAATTACTACCAGACCTAAAGGTTCTGGTATAAATTGCCGGGGAACTGCACACTGTTTTGTTTTTTTTCTACATGGGGTCCCACTTATCATTGCTACCAGACCTTTTAGGTCTGGTATGAATTAGGGGGGACCCTACACTGTTTTTTTAAAATTATTATTATTTCTGTTAAAAGTTAAACACTTTTGTGTATTCTGTGACAGCTGTCAGATACATTTGGGATGGAATTGTACTCAAAGAAGCAGAAGGTGTTACTGAATAACACAGATCTCTCAGCTTCTTTCATTATTTACATTTTGTAACATTATTGTGTTACTTTGTTTTCATTTGAGATGCAAGTGCAGAAAAGCCAGCGTGCGGTAAATGACAGCTCTCCCTCTTGTTGTGTTTAGTTTCCGAATGAAATCCAGATGTATCCGAATTTCTTATCAAACATTCGGATTCGTTCAGATTAATTATTTCCGTCATTTGGAAATCCGGATGCATCCGAATGTCCGAATTTACAGACATTCATACAAATTTCAATTTGGAACAAAAAGAATTGCGCATGTCTATTGCAGTATAAAGCAGTACTTAAGACTTAAATTAACCCACCCTGATACGAGACTACTGCATCCATGACCAACATATAAAAATGTTGTACAGATGCCACACTAACAGTAAAGATATCTTTATTGTACAACAGGGGAAATAGTTTTGCTAGAGACTGTCTTTTGGCTGTACTATGACACTACAATCTTCAATGGTTACTTAATCAGTTGTGTTAAAAAAAAAGTCAGATGTCCATCAAGTTCAACCAAAAAACTACCATACATCCCTCAAACCCCTAAACCTGGAGTTGAAACCAAAGGAAACCTCAAACCAAAAGGTAAGCAATAAAGTATGGCACATGGCAAAAAAATATTTTCTGATCACCTAAGGCAATCAAATACTCTCTGGATAAAAATTCTACAATGGGATTTCTTATAAATACTAATAGTTATTTATAATTTTGCATTTGTGAAATACAGCCAGCCTTCTTGTGAAGCTGTATTTGCTAGAACCAGTTCAGTGGTAGAACATTCCACATTTTCAGTGCTTGCTCTAAAGTTCCCTTTCTATATGTAGAGGTTTTCCCTCTTTACCTGCAGGCACAAAGTATGTCCTTGTGTCTTTTAGTCTAAAGTGGATAACTTTGCACCAAGTTTACCATATAGAATATTTGTATATTTATACAAGATGATCATATCCCCCTTAATCTTCTGTTCACATGGATGAATACATTCAGTTTAGCTAATTGTTCCCTATAGTTGAGGTCCTCTATGCCCCTTATACATTTAGTTGTCCTTCTCAGAGTTACAAAGCACAGAGGAAGAAAAGAGGAAAATGGGGAAACTACTGTTCAACTTAAAATCAAATGGGACTTATTGAAAGATTGTTTTTTGAATACATCATGCCAGCTATGATAGCAAGTGAACGAACAATAAACTGCTACATCAGCTTCTAGTTGCCATCAAATACTGCATAACAGACCACATACTAGGTACAGCTCAAAGTACTGAGGGTACATTTATATAGAAAAACATGTCAAAGCATATATTCCACATCTGTAAAGGTGACAGGGATACATTTGACTAGAGTAAAGAAATAATTCAATAAAACCTCAGCTCCCTCAAGAAAAGTAACATGAGAAAAACTGTAAATAATATTTTACCAATGTTCTTGTTTTTCCTTTCTCCTATTACTTTGCTAAACCAATCTGCAAACCCCCTACAAGCTTCACACTGCAATTTTTCGTTTTGTTTTTAGAAATTCTACGCAAAGTGACTGTCTTGAACTACTCTTTGGAGACTGTCTCCAAAAGTCTAAGTGGAATGAAGATCTGCTTTTTGTAGCTGCAGGCATATGGTGTCAAACAGTGTTATGCTGCATCAAACAGTGGAGACAATTTCATTTTAATACACTGAGCGCATTTTAACAAGTAAAGGTAGTCCCAGAAAAGAATACCATATGGGAGCTGCCAAGAGTAAAAAAAATCCTTGATAAGCTCTGTCTTTTGAAGAGAGAAAAAAAAGAAAGAAATAGACCAGAGAGCCAAGAGTACAAAATTCACCTTTACTTGAAAAAGAATATTGGAAAGAAAGCGTCCATTTACTTTTTGTATTTCACAATAGTGATCTTAGTTCTTCTATTATTCTCCTGGTGGCTGTGAACTCATTTTGTCTGAAAATTCTGGGGTACAACCAATGTTCTACTATGTCCACTCTGATCAGTTCATTTTAAGTGAAGTAATAAAAACATAAGATTCACCATAAACATATACAAACTTTACGTTAAGAAGTTAAGGCAAAGCATAAGTAATTTCACAAATAATAAATATATTATCAAGAAGGATGGAAGTATAAATATAAGACTTTTTAATATTACTTATGGTTAGGGTTAGGGTTGCATAATACTAATCTTTTTACTTTGATGTTTGGAATAAAATAAAGTTTCCAGCAGAAAATTGTTAAATTTGTTATACTTTTTGCTACTTACTAACCAAAACAGTGGCTTAAAGAACAACTCTGGAATTTTTTTTATAAAATGTTCATCATCTGATAAAATGACAGCTCAGACAGCAATGCTCACCTATAATCTAGAGATTTCCCCCTTCCCATTAATTTTTGATCTGCCTTGGTGTTCTGACGCATAGCATCATTCAGTCAGAAAGACTTAGGACATACATAGTCCTTATGAGTTGTCAAGGATCAGGAAACAGGAGTGAGAGTCCAGGTCCAAATATCCATATTTATTTACAAACAGCTGATGATCACAAAGCACATTCTTCAACTCTGCATTGCCCGGGACTGAGAAAAAAAAACAGTCTGCACATAGAATGCCTCTTTTGCCTAACCACAGCACTTGGCACTCCTGCTATCTTTTGACTTTGTGTACAGGAGTAGATTAGTAAATGTACTCCTGTGACCCAAAACAGAAGTAAAACTAAAAAATGGTTTGGCTTTGTTTCTCTTTACATCTTTTAACCTCTCCTCCCCCAGTTTGCTGATTGGACAAGAAAAGATCTTCAGCACATCAATGAGATTACCCTTGTCTTGTCCCCTCATGTAAATATAAGCATGTCACAATTAACCTGCATTGGGAGGCTGACATTTTGGACATCCTGTAAATGCTAGTTCATAGTTGTCTATGTCCCCAGTACTTTTAATCCCTGGCCAAAAAGAAGTATACCCATAATGAACTCAGAAAAAAATTCCACAATAAAATAATTGCACAATTAGAAAAGGTACAAATGGTGGCATCACTGCACTTATCACCCCAGAAGGCCTATTCCATTTCTAAAAACTCAGCTGTCATTCTGGGCCACATTATATAATAAGAGAGACTTATTGCCTGATCCTGTGCTTTTAAAAGCTGTAATAGAAGCACCTGCTCTTTCTGCCTTTTAGGTTTTACTATGGTATTCCAAATATTATGCCTCCGTTGTGGAGCCCTTGAGAGCATTACTATGGGAGAAAATGGTTTTACCAACTCATCATGAGCAGTTCACCACTAGCATTATTTGATCCCTCTGTACCTACTAATATTAGTATAAATGCTTCAGACTTTGGTGTTAGTGTGGTCCCTAAGCTGGCTATACACTGGTAGATTTTTGTAAGAATGTTCATATGAAAAAACATTTGATAATGTCATCAGAAACTTAAAATAAATGGAGTTTCTTGAATGGATAACCATATTCACTATTACATTTCTTACACACAAACATTGCCATTCCTTTAATTTCTTTCTTCACTACGGTCAAAAATGATCATTGAGTTGACCCCGTTGACTATTAGAAAAAAAAAAATTTTGTTTTAATGAAATTTTACTGGTGCATGGCTCACTTTACACTATGCTATGCAGACCAGGTAGAGAAAACTATCGATGTTGCATCCAAAATCTTTACAGATGCAGATAAAAAGTAGTCTACTGCAGAAAAAGAAGCTTTAGCATGTGTTTGGGCAGCAGAAAAATGGAAAATATATCAGTGGGATTGAAAGTTTGCCTGACAGATCGACCATATTACTTTAACTACACTGCTTACCACAAAGGGACAAGGGTGAGCATGAATGCGAATAGCTCAAGATTCGGCTTGGGAGAATCTTGTTGTTGATATTGTATGTTCTTTCACAGAGGTCTCCGTGGACTGCCAATTTGCTATAATATTAATGGATTTTACAGTAAATGACCAAAAATAGCATTTGTCTCAAATATAACATTTTCTACAGTAATTATCATTTCTCTGCACTGTCTTCAGTAGGGGAGGTAACTCAAAGGAACTAGCGTTTGACAAAGGACCACAATTTGTTTTATTGTTTGTGTATTTGTTTAAATCCTTCCTGAGATAAAAGAAATCTGTGCATAGAAATTTTACAATTTATTACCCCTAAGCAAATGGAGAGTTTAAGAGATTCAACAGAAGCCTTTAAAGGCTAGAGGGCCCACTCCTGCCCCTTTTCCAACTGTGTTCCAAGTAAAGAAATACAATGACTTCATGGCAAAATGGTGGAACCCAAGTTTATTGGGAATACTGCAGATCACGACATATTGCTCAATGCCAAATAATAACTGAGGATGCCTTCAGTTAAGCCCTTGCAAACTCCGCTGAGGCCCAGATGCGCTCCGTTCCAGAGGCCTCATAACATGTTCTTGGGCCCCATCCTACAGGCTAGACCCCCATGGGCCCCATCCTACAGGCTAGCCCCCTACCCTATAAAAAAGACTACCATTTCTCTAGCTGGTCCTGTAGTCTGTTGTTGAAATTTTCCAAGCCCAAATCAGAGAGGTGAATACCATTCCCTCTGTAGAGACTTAACGTTTATTCTGAATCATCCCATGTTCAACTATGTAAGCCCCCAGTCTTCACACAGATTGACATATTGCTCAATTCACTTTCTTCCTAGATGAGACATGCCATTTTCCTCCTGTGTGATTTGAATGAATAGGAGGCTGTCCCTGCTACTTATACTTTTGTGTGCATGCCTCGCCTCCTTTTCTCCTGAGCTAGGCAGCCTTCCAATTGCCAACCAACCTTTTTCTGCCTCAAGCCCTTTTTCTGCTCTGAAAATATGTACCTCCTCCTGCTTGCTCCTAGCTGCCACCTATGGCAGCTAGGAGTCATATGGAATGCTGGAAACATATGGAATGCTGATTATCTTACACCTGTTAGCCAATACTTTTCTGATAACAACCAGACTGGAGACCAGGAACCTTAACTGCCTAGACATATTCAAATAAGAAAGCCTCCTATGTGGGATTATGTGATGTCATTAAATTACAATTTACTGTTATGTAACTGTTTTGTGATATAATACTTTATATTGTTCATGTTTATATTTTTAAATATTAAGGAAAAAGACTCTTTCATACTATGAGGGCAAAATTTTCTACCTCTGGCCTGTAGATGTCACTATTTATAGTTGTTATATGTCTGAACTTGGATGAATATGGATGAAGTGCCTACACTTGTATTGTTAGTTTCATAAGACCAAATAAATGCTTCGAATTATATTATTAAATTTACACATAAGTGTGCCATTGTCCACATCTTTCAAAATCCCCACCCCCCCTACACACACCTAGGTGCCTACTTACCTCTTCCCAACGGCAGTGGCCTCTTCCTCTGTTTACAGCTTTCCAACTGAAATCTTGTCCCACACTAAACATGCCTGCATCTATTGATTTGAATGGGACCATACTTCTATATGGTTATTGCCCACATTTAAGTTTATGGGGAGTTCATGCACAGGTGCAAGCCACACCTAGAAAAATTTGAAGCAGAAGGCTGTAAACTCTGGTGGAGGCTACATTCTTCTAGTCAGGTATATTACCCCAAAAGTATCATAAATAAAACTTCACACAAATCTTTTCTCTTTAATTTTTTAGAACCTGTTTCAGGTTCTCTTTCTGTGTTATCATTTGAAACATTCTCTCTCACTTTTTGTGTGGATGACCATTGTCACCGAGAGGAAACCTTAAAGTGACGTTAAAGGATAAGTTTTCTTTCCCTCCCCCCAATGTTAATGTAAGCACTTACCTTAAATTATGTCTCTTAATCTGATCTTCTTCTTCTTTCCTGTCATATTCAGCCTGCTCTACAGCGATGGTGCGGGTCTCAGATCCAGCGATTACTCCTCTGTGCTTGCTGGCACTTCCTGTCCCACGGTGTCTGCATGCGGGTGCACGCCGTCCATAGACTTACCTTGTGTCTCTCCTCGTCTCCTGGCCGAAAATCTGAACTGTGCATGCGCCCGCCCCAAGATCCTTTGCGGCCGCCTGAGATTTTTCAGCTTTTCGAACAGAAGCATGCGGAGAAGACACAGGTAAGTTTAAACCGCTTTTAAAGCGGTTTAAAAAAAACAAAAATGTTTTGCATATATCTACTCCTTGCTAGCAGTAGATATATGTAACAAAAACAGAGGTTTTAGTTATACTTTAAGTTTTACAACTTTCACTGTAACAGAAGAAGAGGGAAATCTTCAAAAGGGTGTTTATATCCCAATAGCACTGTAAAAGGTGAGATTTCCTCTCACCACCTTTTGTGTATGAAAGTTAGGAGAAATCTCATCTAGTAAGGATGCAGAATCAATAAAAACTCAACAGATGTTCTACCTGTTTCCAACTCTAACCAAAACTAAAGTAACAAAATTGGGGCAGATTTTCCACTTTAACAGTTTCATTTAAAAGTCATTAATAATTTTTTGAAAAATATTTGGGAAGGGTCTGTTTTTTTCCCTGGTTGGTGGCACATTATTTACTTGTATTTCTATAAGTCATATCAACAAAGTCATATCAGGCAATTACAGCTGTATATTAAACAAGTTCTTGACTTGCTTCTGCTATACTTTTTTCTTAATTCAGAACTGAATGTACATTACAACTCTGCACATAGAGCTTTCAAGCACAGCAAGACATTCCTTTATTGGAGCTATTATTGCTAGTTCTGCCTCATGACTTTATGCTAGAGATGCTACAAATGCCTTATCCCGTCGCATACAGAAACCTAAGGTTTCCAGCAAGGTTTATTTCTGAATCTGTAATTGTGTCTTAAATTAAATACTTGGTTAATCTAGAATGTTTTGCAGATAAAACATGTGTTTTTATATTTGACTAAAAAATATAATAAATTAGCAATTTTTTAAAGGAGTAGTACACTAAAAAATGGCAGGTTTCTTTTTTATTCTGATGTGATGTTGCAATCGCTGATTTATTTTTGTCTAATTACAGTGGTCTTCCCTGAGATAAGGCAGTGTCACTGTTGTCTACTGGGAGCAAGCCACACCTTCCTTCTGCATATGTCTGAAGGAAACTTCTCATAACAAAAATTAGAACTGTAAGATAACACAGTGTGGCACTATAATTCTACTTTCTTTGTCACAGGATCCCATGCTAAGGTACTATTGTAAGGCCATTGGTGTGCGAGAGTGGCCTAGACATACTCACTGAGCTTCACTAATCTGATACAATTAATAGATATGGAAATGTAAGTACTTATATCCGCTGACTCACATCTACACCCTTTGTTCTATTGCTCTTGTGGTAAGTTTCCTTGTGCAACTAAAATGTTCTTGTTTATGTATCAAGCAGAGGTAAAACATTTCTGAAGATGTATATGGCTATCTGCATTTGCTGCCACTTGTTGATTCAACCCAACAAACAATTACAAGCAAACCTAAAGTGTAACTAATGTCATACATTTTTTTCTGTTTTGGATAGGGTAGGGAAGGGTTAAAATGAAATCTCTCCTAAAGGGACATTAAACTCAGGAGTTAAATCTTAAAAAAGCATTAAAGTACCTTATTTATTAACAATAATGTATCTTATTTGTGTATCACTCAGCTGTAGATCCCCAAATAATCTCTGAATTCATGCTGACACTGTCCTTCCAGTGGGTGACGTTTGTTCCCCATGGTCCCTATGTGTGTTGTAAAGTACCCACTGCTTCAAGCTCACTCCCGTGATAGACTGTAATTTCAATAAAAATTAGTACACTAAATGTGAGATTGTAGTCCATCATGAGAGCGAGCTTGGAGTGGTGACTACTTTACAACACCCAGGGACCATGGAGAACAAAAGTAGCTACCCTCCAGAAAGAAGGGAATTGTCACAAATAAGATACACAAATAAGCTACATAAGGTAAGGTACTTGAATGCATATTTAGGATTTACCTTCTAAGTTTAGTGTCACTTTAAAGAGTTGTTACCACACCAAACACCCCATTAAAGACATCTCATTGATTCCTATTTTAGTGACAGTTTCTCCAGTTCCTGTGACAATCGTCACCAGGGAAAATGCATAGAGTGAATCTCCCCAGCAAGGACACAGCAATAAGAACTTAATAGGTCTGCTAACCCTTTCCTACTCTATATAAAACAAATGTAAAACAAGTTTTGGCGTAAGATATTTCAAAAAAAATTTAAAATGTCAACGTTTTCCACAGAACACACAATATTGAAAGTACAAAGTAGGAACATACCTTGCAAACCCAACTCCTCTGCTCACTCCACTGGCATCTCGTAATATTCTAGTAGAGATAACATGTCCAAATGGCTTCAACATGTTTTCTAGTTCCTGTTCATCCATTGAAATTGGCAAGTTTGAGATGTATAGGTTTGTTGGGTCTTGTTCTTGTTGCTGTAAAGAAAGAATTAATCAGTTGTTAAAAAGTGAATTCAACTAATTTTTATACAATATGTTATTGTTGGGTATTATTAAATTATAATAATAATATTAGTTTAAAAAAAAGACAAATTAAATAATGCAGATACAGCTGTTCCAAAGTTTGCTGAAAAAAAATTTTGACAAGCATTTAACACTGATTAACCCCTTAATGACAAAGGTAAAACAAACCTTAAAGCTAGCCTCCATGAAAAGTTAATGTTGTCTAAATACAAGATGTGTTTTCTTACTTAAATCTCAGTGTACTTTGTGGATTTCTTCTGGATCAGTGTTTGTTTCTAGAATTTAGCTTTAAAGTCTGAATCCAGTTGTGCAACTTTGGCATGTGTTAGTAAAGCATATCTTTGCATCTATTTTCTGTTTCCAGATGTACTTCTTTTTTATTAGAGCAAGTTGGGTCTTCATTCGGTGGTAACTGTTAATGGATATTGTCTGTTTTTTTTTATTCTTATCAAAGGAAAACTGGCCCAAAATTATAATTCTCTTTAATTTTAACTGTATATTGTATTTTAACTGTATATTTTTTTTACCATGACCCACCACTAAAACCCCCCAAAATAAATTATTCTGTTCCTGATGTGCAAGGGCATACCACATATGAGTGCATTACTTGTTGTTTGTACCTGTAGTAGAGCCCCAAAGACAATACTGTGCATTTTGCCTTCAGCAAGGGCAACTCATCTAAAACTAATTATCAGGTATGCTACATACAGTAAAGACACATTGCAAACTAACAGGGTAATGCATATAAAACCTTTTTTTATCCTAGCCAAAAACACATAGACATTGACACTAAGGGCTCATGCACACATGCATACATTACTCTACGCTCAGATCTACATTCAGAGATATTCGGCTATTTGCTATTGAACTGCCAGATGTTGGATCGGATTTGTTCTTCACTTGAGCTCAACCAAAAATGGCTGATTTTATCCAATGTACGGCTACAATCAGCCATACAGGGCTGAAATTAATAGCTGAACAGTTTTCGGCTCACTTTACTTCAGCTCGGTTTTTCACTCGTCTGCCTTCGGCAGCTTAGTGAATAACCCCCTTAATGTTCAATCACAGTTCAAGGTGTATGGCCAATGGTAACATCGTATTTTTAGTGTATTAAACAAAAAAGGCACATACCATCTGGAAAACAAACTGTCTGTATATATAAAGTGGACTAGAACTCAAAAATTCTAAATTTACAATGTTAAAGGGAACATTTAGAAATGGCAATTGTGCCTAAGCCTAAAAAATATACATTTTGTCTTGAAGACCTCCTGAAAAATAGCCTTCCTGGTATGTGGGGGTGCTAGGTACTTCTGTGTCTACAAACCTATAGGGGTTGATTTATTATAGGCAAATCGGCTGTTTATTTCACAAGAGAACTTGAACTTTGCAGGGGAATTTTCACTTAGTTGAGCGAATGAGGTGAAACTCTGCTAACTTTCATCGCCCAATCATGTGAAAACAAAACTATATATTTTTTTTCATTTTCCCAGCAATTAATTGGGTATTTCTTTGCAACGTGAATTTTCACCACAATCTCTAAGTCAAGGAAACATTCCGTTGCAAACTGAAAATTCCCTTGCAACGTGTACAGCTTTAGTAAATCAACACCATAGTTGTACATTTAAACATGAGATCTAAGTCACTACTGCCTTTGACTGTTACTCTCAGGAAATTTGGGGTGAGGGTGTCACTTCTTTTCTACTCACTGTTCTCCTTGCTGGAGGCAAAACCTTACCTCTACCAAAATGGCCACCTCCATACAGAGTCACAGTGCAAAACAAGGTATGGTAAGTCAATAATGGGGAACCGATCAGCTACTGGAAGACCACAGGAAATACTGCTGACCAGTCCTTCGTGCTCTGCTTGCCTTTTTTTGCACACAGCTTCCAGAGTTCAGTTTCTTTTTAAAGATTCTTTCATATTATATTACACCTCACTCATTTTTGGCTTTCATTTTACTTTAATTACTAGACTGAAGAAAACACCAATATTTACATTCTCACAAGAATAGAAATATAGGGCAGACTGCAAGATTGAACAATAAATACAGTGGAATCCTATTCTGGAAATCCAACAGGGATACAGGTTTAGTGCTATTTTGCACAAGCTCAAACTTTGTTTATGAACACAGGTTCCTGGCTTGATTCACACTCTAGCTATAGAAAACAACTACTCCTTAGAGGCACATCATTTTTTCAAAGTGTCTGCATTACTTGAAGCACTGATGCAACTTAAACAAGATCTACTGAAACCATTAGCCTCAGGGTGCATTCAACAGGATTAGTATTACATTGATTGAATACAACAGAGTAACAAATATTAACAATGGAAGTTATGTCGCCTACCTCATACTGTTAAACAATTGACTTCTGGGCAATTAAATTACTTGTGGGACAGATGAGTTTTAAAAATTATGCTGTGTACACTTAATAGCTGAATTACTTATTTTTTTGCTATAATGTGCACATTTAATTATATTCATGCAAAGACAAAATGAGCGCAGTCAGTCTTTTGCACAGGGCTGATGTTAGTTTTTATTGGGAAAAATGCCAACTATATAGGGGTGTTTCTATTATTGATTTTTCATTGGGGGGGTGATTGCTATAATTGAATAGTCATTTGAGCCAAGCTGTCAGAAGCTCTGTCTGACTCACTGACGTCACTGGTTGACAGGTGTTCTGCGGGATGCCAGCCAGAGCATCCCACAGAGCTCCTGGCAAACAGTAAGGTTAGTGAGCTGAGTGGAAAGTCAGACAGAGCATCACAGGTTGCTAAGAGCTCATTATGTATGTGGTGCAGTGTAAGAGATCCCAAGTTAGGGGTCCTACAGTAAGAGGCTTATAGAGAACTGTGGTACAAACTGTAGAGGCACAGTGTAATGTGCAGGAACCCATAGTAGCCAATAAGCTTTCAGCTTTTACCTGGGTGAATTCAATAAAGTGAAATCTAATAAGGTTGTAAATTTGTTGTAACTAAAGTTTAATTTTCTATTATATTATACTGTTTTGCACAGATCATTTGTGATGTGACTTCCATCTAATACCAAGGTCAACAGTAAACAAAAATGATTAATCCCTGAGATTGTAAATATGTCACACTCTGGGCACTCTGCTGTGTAATCTCTAGCAGTTTTCTCAAACCTGCACAGATTAAAGTGTAACTGAAGCCAAAAAAATGTTTTCATGTTGGATAGGGTGGAGAGGGATTGAAACAGCTTTCAGGTTTTTATTGCTGTATGTGTCCCCGTTATGGAGATTCACCCCCTTTATTTGTCCTGGTGCAATAGATGAGAATTCTTCTGATGGGGACATTAGTTCAGGGATTTCCCTTTCTTTGGGAAATTTCCCCTCACTTTCTGTTGTGGCCATCAGACAGTAAGTGAAGGTATATGTCCCCAATGGCAAACAGGTGGCAAAAAGTCCCTCACTCTATTAAAAACTAAAAAAAGGTTTGGGCTTTACCTTGAGTCTTAGGGGGTTATTCACAAAGAAAGCTGCTGATGGCAGCCGAGTGAATAACCCAGCCGAAGTGAAGTGAGCCGAACTACTTTCGGCTATTCACTGCTGGCTTGTATGGCTGATTCCAGGCGTACATCAGCCGAACATGCTGAGCCGAAGTGCAGAAGGAGTTCGACTCAGCCTATTCAACATCTGGATCGGATGAGCCGAAGGTCCGGCAGCTCACTCGCTGTCGTTCGCCAGAATTAATAATATATTATCTGTAAAAAGCTCTATTATCAGCACTTTATTCCACTGACAAGTGCTTGCCAACTAGTTCCAAAGTACATAATAAAGGATTTTTTTTGGTAAAACATCATATGGCTTTAACTATTCCAAAACAAGGTCATATATCAGTAATTCATTACTTGGGGAAAAATGGTGTTGATTGCATTGACTACCAAAGCCATAGGCAAATAGGCTGTTCACATTGCAAGGGTATTTTAATTTAGCAAAGGAATTTTCCCTTAGCTTAGTGAATGAGGTAAATATTCACTTTCAAAAAATATCAAATCACATCCAAGGAAAATTAAAAAAAAGTAGTTTTGCTTGCACATGATTGGATGATGGAAGTCAGCAGAGCTTCACCTCATTCACTAAGATAAGGCACAATTCCCCTGCAAAGTGAAACTTCCCTTGGAAATTCACCAGCTTACTTGCCTTTAGTGACTCAACCCCATTGTATAACAATAGAATAATTGCACCCCATTAAATATAACATGTTGAAGCCACAAAATCACTTACTTACATACATTTATTGTATGCCAATGTACACAGCTGTGATGAGTAGGATGTAAGAATTTACTAAGAAGCTGGGAGTCCATAAAAGGATGACCTCCAGACATTTGCTACTTTTGTTCTCTTGCTAGTAAGCCATACAGCTACCAATTGAAAAATGTAAGAAATGTAAACTGTGACAGCTGTGATTACTGATAGGAAGTCGCAGCTTTACATACTTTAGTTTTTTTTTTTACCATGTTTACTTTAATTGAAGAGTGATATGCTTTAAGATGAAAAATAATGAAAAATATATTTGGATTATGTACAGATAACCAGTACAAATCGAAAAAAATTAACTCAAATGCATTTATTATTATAATATTTGTGTATAAGACCTACATCTTTAGAACTGTATTACCTGTGTTTAAAATTATATTAACGTCAAAAGGTGTTTAAGCTATTTCAGATGCTGATGAAATCACTTAAAATGGATCCTGCTCCTTGATTTTTAATAGTTGTAGTTTCCTGCAAAATCAGCCGCTACCTTGAGCACTGGCCCTGATTTCCTGTTTTAGGGTGGCTCCTTTCCTTTGCAGGGATCTAGGGGAGCTACCCTTGTGGGTGCTAGTAAGCTGTGCGTGTCTCTATAATTACAGGCACAGCAAAGCAAGCCACTCCTCTGCTCTTTGCTCTCTTCTCCTCTCTTCTCCCTTCTCGAATCTGGTACATAGACAG